TCCCATTGTCTCCGTATAACCTCCCTTGTCTCTCCTCTCAACTCCCCATTCTCCCTCTAGTCTCCTATACCGTTTCCGCATTGTCTCCTATAACCTCCCCTTGTCTCCTCTAAATCTCCCCATCTCCCTCGTTCTTCCTATCATCTACTGCTTTGTCTCCTCTTAACTCCCCATTCCTAGTAATCTCCCTTGTCTCCTTAATCTCCCTGTGGTCTCCTTGTTTTCCTCTCAACCCCCATGTCTCCGTTATAATTCTCCCTGTGTCTCCTTGCTTTCTCTCAACTTCCCCTCGTCATCCTATGAGTCTGCTCTGTGCTCCTTGCTTCCTCTCAAACTCCCCCCTTGTCTCCATATAATCTCCCTGTGGTCTTCCTTGTTTCCTCTCAACTACCCTTTGTGTCTATAATCTCCCTGTGTCTCTGGCTCCTCTCAATTCCCCTTGTCTCCTATTAATCTCCATGTGCTCTCCTTATTGGCCTCTCAACGTCCCCCACTCTCCTATAATCTCCCCATGCTTCCGATAATCTCCCCGTGTTCTCTTGTTCCTCTTTTCAACTCCCCTGGTCTCCTAAATCTCCTTGTTTCCTCTCAACTCCCTTATCTCTATAATCTCCCTGTGTCATCCTTGTTACTCCACTCCTTCGTCTCCTATAATCTCCCTGTGTCTCCTTGTATCCTCTCAACTCCCCCCTTGTCTCCTATATCTCCCTGTGTCTCCTGTTTCTCTAAACTCCCCATGTCCCTATAATTCTCCCTGTGTCTCCTTGCTTCCTCTCAACTCCCCTGGTCTCCTATAATCTCCCTGGGTCTACCTTGCTTCCTATAATCTCCCTGTGTCCCTTGTTCCGTCTCAACTCCCCTGGTCTACCTATAATATTCCCTGTGTCTCCTAGTTTCCTCTCAACTCCCTTGTTCCTATAATCTCCCTTGTTTCCTAGTCTAACTCCCCTTGTCTCCTATAATCTCCCTGTGTCTCCTTGTTTCCTCTCAACTCCCCCATCTCCTATAATCTCCTGTGTCTCCCTATAATCTCCCGTGTCTCCTTGTTTTCCTTAACTCCCATCTCCTATAAAATCCCCTTGTTTCCTCTCGACCCCCCCATCTCCTTTTGTCTCCTATAATCTCCCCTTGTCTCCTTGTTTCCTTCGGAACCCTTCCCCCCCATCTATACTCTCCCCTGTTTCCCCCTTATAGCAAACACAGAACACATTTCAAAACATAAATAAATAATACATAATAAAATAACTCCCAAAGACCAAGCCAGCCTCTAGCTCTAGTCCTGCAGCAAGGAAACATACAGGTGAGTACACTGAAGACCACAGGTGATTGTTTAGTCCCGCTCTCACTGAGGATTATGGGATGGGAAGCGTCAGAAACAAGATGTCCGACTCACGTTGCGATTTCCCGCCTTGAAGTCGGCCTTCTTCTTCTCCATCTGCTCCCTCGCTTTCTCCAATTCTGTTCGAGGAAGATGGGGATTTTAAAACACATCGTTAATGTTGTAGAGACACAACATTTTAAGGTATTTAACCTAACATAATGAAAACCTGGATCACCTGCGAGATCACCTGACCTTGTAAATGTGTATTTATTTATTCACTTAACATCACTTTATTTATTTTGTTTTACTGGTTTTAATTCATAAACCTTTTTAATAATCAATCTTGTTAAACATCGTGTATTAATAGTTTCTATGTGAGGCTTTTTTTAAAAAAAGGTTTTCTGCCTCTTCCTGCTCCTTCTATGTTTTGTGTTTTTTAAATTGTGCAAAAAAAATATATATTATATGGCGTGTTTTGAGTTCTCTTTTCCTCGGCCGAGAGAGCATCAGGATTTGCATGTCCATTTATAATAAATAAACACATATATTTAACTTAGATGAGTTCTGTGTCTCTAGATTTAGATTATAAGATAACAGTAAATTATCTCGAGAACATGACGCCCGTAAACCAAGATGGACGAACAACACGGCTCTCATTTCTCTTCTATGGATCAGAGCTTCTAACTAACCGATGTTTCCTTTAAAAATTTAACATCGTTTCCCACCTATCTCCTGCTTTTCCCTCTTCTTCCAGGGCCAGGAAAAGTCTCCATGGGTGACCGAGTCACGTAGCTCCCAGACGCCGGCTCTCCTGTGGAGAGAAGAGTTCAATCAGACACATGGAGAATATTACGAGTCACATGACTTACATCACCACCGCTAAGCTAAAGGAGGCTAATGTTGTCTATAAAGGAACTACAGCACGGTCACATGACTTCACGTGCCACCACCGCTAGCTAAGGAGGCTAATGTTGGGCTATAAAGGAACTTAAGCACGGTCACATTGATTCACGCACCACCGCTAAGCTAAAGGAGGCTACTGTTGGGCTATAAAGAACTAAACAGTCACGGTCACATGACTTCACCAACCGCTAAGCTAAAGGAGGCTAACTTTGGGCGTTGATGACATTCAATCGTCTTCATGTTAGACGACTTGTAGCACCATATTTCTATATCCGTCCCTTCACCTGTTCTCGATCAGCTCCCTCATGAGATCTTCTCTTCCTCCTTGTCGTCCTTCTTTGTCTTTCCTTCAGGACGAAGCCTGTGGCAGAGCGTGGCGGTACATGCAGGACTCCCGCCTGACGGGAACACGCCCAGAACCAGCGTACTTGTTCTCTCGGATGCGTTCCAGAGTGTTTGCACACGCTGCGCACACACACACCACACACACACACACACACGAGTTAATGGAGAGTGTATCAACATGGCAGTGTTTTCAGTGGCGCAGAAAGATCAAAGCCTTTTTTCTCTCTGTCATTCCCTGTACATGGTTCTAATTGATCATTTGATAAAGTGCATTTTCCACATGCCCTGCCTCCGATTCTTCCCTTTATGATCAAGACTTACGATATTGTTTTGACTTTCTCTTCTCTGACTCTCCGTGCTTATGGGCCACCCTCTCTCCAGTTCTTCTCGTCCAGCCTTCCATGTGTCTACAAACAAAACAAACAACATTCATTTAACACATAATTAAGCGTTATTTATAACAACTAAACCCACTGGAAAGTAGGATCAAAGTCTCTGTGAAAGCGATAATGAACTCGAACAGTCCTGAGAGGATTGCTCCAGGTGATATTATCTCTTCCCGGTGTTTCTCGATTTCTACAAAATGAGAAATGTGTTTTACTTTTAACCTGTTTCAGCCTGAGCCTGTTTTTCAGGGTACTACAAGAGACATACAAGAAACATTCCACAGAACAAATGACCAATATCTTCCCTTCTCAAAGGGATTACTAAGGTAATCTGAACTTCAAACACATATCAAGATTCTAACAAAGATAATTGAAATTCACTCGCTTGGCTTCTTACAGCTTAAAACTGTCTGTTTTCGACCTTCATCCCGTAAAAGGTTGGTCTCTGGCTTGTTCCGTCCCAGCTGGACTATGGTGATACCATTTATAGATTTGCCTGTCTTACTGTTTTGGCCAAACTTGACCCACTCTACCATGCTGCACTGCGTTATATATCAAATGCACCCTATAGGACTCATCACTGCTCACTGTATAGCCTAACTGGATGGTCCTCACTCACTGTGCGTAGGATGCAGCATTGGTTTTTATTAATGTATAAAGCCATTTTAGGAAAGCTTCCACTGTACTATGTGCCAGATCTGCTCCAGTTTGTGACTCTCACAACCTCAGATCCAGTGCCTGGATACGGGTCCAGGTTCCTGCTGTGCGGACTGAGGCTGGAAAAAGGAGTCTCTTTCATTATGGTCCTTGGTCTTGGAATGACCTTCAATCACGCCTCAAACTGACGGCACTTGTCTCTATAGCCTGTTTTAAATTGAAGTTGTCTGAGGTCCTTACCACCAGCTGCTCTTGCAGTAATAAGTAGTGCCTTTCTTACTGTCCTAATGTGCACAATGTAGTAACTGCTTTTTTCGTCTTTTGTTTTCTTAGTTATGTTCTCTGTATTTTTATATGTTTGTGTTATGTGTTATGTGTAACGTTGCTGCCTTCTTGGCCAGGTCAGCATTGTAAATGAGATTTTATCTCAATGCTTTTTATCTGGTTAAATAAAGGTTAAAAAAAAATAATAATAATTACATTAATAATCTTTTTTCTCAAAGTAATGATAAACCTGTGATGTTGGATGTAGAAAAGTCAGAATCAATATAGATGTTTTCTTATTTAAAAGTGAATTCAGATTGAACATAGTAAAAATGTAAATTATAGTTTCAGTCCAAATAAACCATGACTTATAGTGAAACTACCCTTAACTGATGGGGATAGTAGACTAACAGCTTTAGGAATCCAAAAGTATACATGATAATAATGTACCCTGTATCAGATTGATGCAACACAAGTGACATTTGGATCTTTTTAGACAGATTTAGCAAAGAAAAAAAACACCTCTGGGTGATTTGGGTGGATTTCGTTTCTCTGGAACCCATGGCTTGATGTTGGTGATTGACATCTCTTTTAAGCCGCTAAGCCTAATAGCAATCGAGGGGGAAGTTTCCTTAAAATCCATCTAAACCATTGAGAGTGATGCGCACTGCAGCTTGCCAAAACCG